AATAATAATAATAATAATAATAATAATAATAATAATAATAATAATAATAGAAGAGAAGGGAAAAGAAAATGGCATAGTCAATAAAGTATTTGAAAAAAAAAATGAGTCCCTGAGTTTGATCTCCAGCACCTACATAAAAAGCTGGGCATGGTGGCACACACTCTTAATCCCAGCACTAGGGAGGCAGAGACAGGAAGATCCCTGGCCTTGCTGGCCAGCCAGCCAGCCTACTCAGCAAAACCCTGTGAAAAACCCTGTCTCAAAACAAGAACGTGAAGGGGTGGCACACAGCTTTAATCTTGGCCCTCAGGAGACAGAAGCAAGCGGATCTCTGTGAGTTTCAGATGAGCTCGGTCTCCACAGCAAGTTCCAGGCCAGCCAGGGCTACACAGTGAGACCTTGTCCCAAACAAAACGAAACCAACAAAAAATCCAATGTGGATGGCACCTGAGATGAGCCCCTGGCCTTCACACACGTGTACACATGCGAGCTGATGTGTGTACCTGCGTGCACGCGTGCACACACACACACACACACAGAGACAGAGAGACAGAGATAAGGAAGGGAGGAAGAAGGGGAAGGAGGCTCTACAATAAGAGCCGCTCTCCTCTGGGACTGGAGCCTTCACCCTGAGCCTGGCTCCTCTTCTCGGGCCCAGGCCACCCAGTCTTCCTGCGGACAATGGGATCCTCTATTCCTTCGTGTCCCATCACTGCTGAGTGAGAAAGCAGATATGTACTGGCATCAGAGATAGTGTCTGGATCACAGCCTGACCCACATGCCCAGCCCAGCCCTTGGCAAACTCTGGAGCAGCAAGGTTGCCTACCTGAGTCAGTAGGAGACGGCAGTCGCCTGCCTCTCTCATGGGACAGGCAGAGGTGACCAGCCTAGCATGACCCTAGTTATAGAAAGCTTCTCCCAGCCAAGGCCTCTGGTCTACTCCAGTATCCAACGCCACTGGCCACTCTCTCTCCTATTGAGAGCTGTTTCTGGGGCTCCTAGTTGGACTTGGGTCTGCCTGTGTCCACATACATCCTATAAGTGCCACCTTAGTGCTGGTCCTCCAGTGGAACAGAACCAAAAAAACAAGGGGATTATCACACAGCTTACAGGCCAGGAGCTGGGCGGTCCAGCAACGGCTGTCTGCATGTTCAAGAGACTGAGAGCCCTGTGGCTCTTCAGCCCACCAGGCTGAGTCCCTCAGCATTCCCAACCTGGCACTGAAGGCCTGGAGGACTCCTGGAGAGCCAGTGGCCTTCAGCCCAAGTTCAAAACCCAGAGATGCTGGATTGCAAAGTCTATGCAAGATGCCACCAAGGACAAGATGGGCGCACCAGCAAGAAGCAGAGCTGGGCGGGCAAAGGCAGCATGGATGTCTCCTCCTCAGGCAGAAGCTAGAAGCTGCCACCCACTCTGAGTTAGGGTCTTTTCTCTCCATTAGTCTTCCCTGGAAATGCTCTCACAGGACCGCCCTGAGGCAGTTAAGTAGACTCCACATCCAATCAGGTTGATGATCAATATTCACTGTCACAGTGAGATAGCTAACCATCACCATCAGCTTGACTCATTTTAGAGTCGCCCAGGACACACACGTTTGGTAGCGTCTGAGGGAGTTTCCAGAAAGGTTTGATTGAAGATGCATCCTGAATGCGAGCAGTACCACCTCATGGGCTGGGGAACAGGAGGAAGCTGGCTGAGTTCCAGCATTCATCTGTTTCCTGCCTTCAGTGTGACTTCATGCTCCCGAAGTGTGACTGCCACCACCACCGCCATGATGGACGGTATCCCCTCAGTGAGGGAAAATAACCCCTTCCGTCCTTGAGTTGCCTTTGTCTGATATCTTGTCATGGCAGTGAGGAAAAGAAATGACACACACACTGTTTGTCCTTTGACCACCTTTTGCCTCTCCCCTGACAAGCATCCTCTTCCCACAAGAAAGAGCCCTGTTTCCACATTCCCTTTGTTTTGTTTTGTTTTGTTTTCAGTTTTTCGATACAGGATTTCTTTGTATTGCCCTGGCTGTTGTGGAAATTTGTAGAGCAGGCTGGCCTCAAACTCACAGAGATCCGCCTGCCTCTGCCTCTGCCTCTGCCTCTGCCTCTGCCTCTGCCTCTGCC